AGGCGGGACAAGACTTTGCGGACATGTTTGGGGTGATCTTCGGGGTTCTTGGAGAATATCAGGATATCGTCGAGGTAGACGAAAACAAACACATCGAGAATGTCGCAGAAGATGTTGTTCATCAGGTACTGGAAGACGCCAGGAGCATTGCTGAGTCCAAAGGGCATGACATTGTATTCGAATAGGCCGTAGCAGCAGCGGAAGGCGGTCTTCCATTCATCGCCCGGGCGCATGCGTAAGAGGTTATAAGCGCCGCGGAGGTTGATCTTGGTGAGACGGCGGGCGCCGCGCAAACGATCCATGATACCGTTGATCAGGGGCAGGGGGTAGCGATTCTTCACCGTGATGCTGCTCAGGCCTCGATAATCGACGCAGAGGCGGAGAGAACCGTCCCTTTTCTTCATGAATAAGACTGGCGCACCGGCAGGGGACTTTGAGGGTTTGATGAATCCTTTGGCGAGGTTTTCTTCGAGGTATTTGCAGAGTGCCTTTATTTCTGGTTCGCTGAGGCTGTAGATCGGGCCGAAAGGTGGCTGCTTGCCTTCTTCCAGATCGATTGGACAGTTGTAGGGCTGGTGCTTGGGGAGAGTGTCAGCATTTCTCTTTTCAAAAACGTCGGCGAAGTCTTGATACTCGGGGGGCAGGAAGTCTTTGATGTCCTTCTGGGGTGTCGGGGGGTTACTGGGGCTAGGCGAGGCCCGGAGATCGGGTTTCGCAGGGTTGGCGTAGGCGACAAGGACCTGGTCATGCCTTGCCGCGACGCGGAAGGCTGGGGCGGAGATGAACGATACTCAGAGCGGCGTGGAAGCCGGTTCTGGGGTGCTGGAGCGAGATACCTTGGGTACTGGAATCGACCATGTTTCGTTGACGGGGACTTCATCCTGGGGGATGCGGATCAAGGGCTCGGGGGTTCTGGCGGGTGCTGGGCTCGGGGGTGCTGGAGAGTTGTCCCAATTCGCGAATTCATGGTACTGACAGTCGCAACGGAAACCGACCGAAAGGTTCTTGAAGTCAAGGTTAATGTCGTGGAGGCGGAGCCAGGGGAGACCAAGGAGGATTGGAGCATGGGGTGATTTGGTGACATGGGAGAAGAGTTCTTCGAAGTGGTCGTCGACCCACATGCCTAGGGTGTGATGGGTGATTGGCCCAGCAGAGCTGGGTTGACCGTCAACGAGTTCGATCGTCAGTGGACGCTGATGCGGGACTAGGGCGATGCGGTGTTTGCGGGCAAAGTCTCTTTCGATGAAGCAGGACAGGGCACCGTTGTCCATCATGGCTGAGGTAGGTATCGGGGCGCGGCTGGATGATACCATGATGGTAACGGGGTAGTTGAAGGGTTCGACGGGACCCAGCGCAAGCACGGCGCGGGGGTTAATTTCGGAGTTTTCGACATGGGCAGCGGCTAGGAGGGTTGTGTCGGCTATAACGGAGTCGGGAACCAGGGGGGTGGCCTCTCCCGTTGCAGGAGCTGCGAGGTTAGGAGGCCCGGGGCGGTGTGTGTTGTCCAGTCGCTGGGGCTTTACTGCGGCTGGACTTTGGGAAAACCCTGTTCGGTGGAGGGTTCTTTGATGTCGACGTTGGCGGCACGGGTGGTGGTCTTGTTCTTGACGGGGCAGACTTTTGCAATGTGCCCCGCGCCGCCGCAGTAAAGGCAGAGGTTGTCGGAAATGCGGCGTTGGCGTTCCTGAGGGCTCAGAGGGCCGCGGGGACGAGCGGCGTCAATCTGCATAGGCTCGCTGTGGTCGACAGTGGTGGTAGTAGTAAACAAGGTGTGGGGAACCGGGAAGGTCTGGCGGCTTCTGTTTCGCTCCAGGCGGCGCTCAAACAGCCGGTCATCGCACTGGATAGCCTGCTCCATCACCACATCAATGGTGGCCGCAGGGGGCATTGTGAGCATCAGGTCTTTGACGTCTTCTTTGAGGCCACGGCGGAAGGTAGCAATCAGGGCCTGGTCGTTCCAGGAGACATCGCATTGTAGCTGGCGGAACTCAGCGACGTACTCGGTTGCTGCACGGGTTTGGCGAAGGTTCTGGAGCTTGTTTTCAGAGGTGCGGACCCTGTCGCTGTCTCCGAAGACCGATTGCATCTGACTGATAAAACTATTGAAGTCCTGAAGGCTGTGATCTTGGCGTTCGACTAGGGGCGCCATCCAGGCTTGCGCAGTGCTGGTGAGGTAGGTGCCAATAGTTTGGATCTTGATGATGTCGCTGGGGTAGCGGTCGGGCTGGAGAGCAAACATCAACCGGATGTTGTTCAACCACCCACGGAATTTGCTGCGGGTACCATCAAACTTCTCGGGCAAGCTGATTCTTGGCTCCAGAGCAGGGTTGGCGACTTGGGGACGGGTGTACGTATCGGCTTGAACCTGGGCGGCGATGCTCTGGGCAGCTTGAGCGTCGGCTTGGGCTTGCGCTAGGTTGGCCTGCAAGTTGGCGTTTTGGCTTTGCAAGGCGGCGATGGCTTGGCACATATCGTTCCATTGCTTGGCGGTGAAAGGTACGGATTCGGGTTGGAACATGGCGAAAAAGGTTTGTCGGATGCAGGGCTGGACAGGTTCTGAACTTCGCAGTATTGGAGCAGATCAAACTGTTATGATCTCGACGACGGGGGCGGAAGCGAAGTAGAGAAGACAGGGCAAGTGTGAAAGGCGACAAGAACATTGTATTGGCGAAACGAGAAACAAGGACTAGGACAGGAGATGAGAAGAACTGGTGTTGATCTGCTGGGGAGGAAGGGAATGGACGAAGAGAGGCCGGCTATTTATAGATAGGCAACCCAGCAGATGAGGGTACAACAACAACAAGAGGAGACTGGGGGGGCGCCAGCTATGCTCCTAGAGCGTGCGTGGCGAGCGTAGAGAGCATTGCTACAGCTGCTGGCTATGGGGAAGTAGTGGGGGGTGTGGAGAAGTTGAGGGGGGATTGGCGAAATGAGAGGAGAGAGGAGGAGTGGCGATATTGCAAGAGGATTGGCAAAATGGGAGGAGAGAGGGGGAGTGGCATTGACATTGACATTGACACTGACATTGACACTGACATTGACATTGACATTGGCGTTTGACATTTGGCGGTTGACATTTGGCGGCTGTCAGTAGGTAAGCTTATGGTATGGGCGCCTCGTCCATAACATCAAGCTTCAGCTTCCAACATTGTGTTGAGTTTTGGGCTGAGAAGGACAATGAGGTTGTTAGGCTCAATGTCATTTCTCACAAAGTGACTAATGCACTCTGGGTGAAAACCCTTTCAAACGCCGTTTGCGGCGCTGCCCGTACCGTATCTATGTGTAAGGGATTCTGTGCATGAAGGCAGAGTTGTCCGTGAGTACAGGCTAATTGTCAAAGGGGTCAAGAGCAAATGCTTAGTCTGGAGAGTGTAGGACGGGAGATAGAGATAGACGTGAAGGAGGGGGTTTGGGGAGCTGTATGTATTTATATCTTCGCTCGAGCGAAAGAAAAGAAGCTTAGTAAGCACAACCTTGAACGCAATCCCACTCACAGCACACCCAAACACGGGGTCTTTAGTAACTGGTAACATGAAAACGAGACTATTCAGCAGGAATTACACTCTAAGACCGTCTACACACTCCAGGTAGGTACTTTTCTAGATGCCTGTGCAGTGCCAACCTCATCTGGGGAACTGCCATAGGGTCAGGGTTAGGCTTAGGTTGAGATGCTGTTGAAATGCTGTCAAGAGAGTGCTGCGGGATTCGTAGCAGATATAGCCCACGTCTAAGGGAATTTTGCGAGAAATCGCTCCGAGGGACGCGTCGAGGCCTTTAGAAGTTGGCCCAAGGCTTGCCGAGGGACTCTTTGCAAGGCCAAGACAAGGGCCTGAGGAGCGATTTGAGCAATTTCCCGAGAGGACAAAGGTTATAACATATTTATCACACACACCATACAACAAATATTCTGCCTAAGATTTATAGTTGACACAGTTGATAACGGGTCATGTGGCCAACCTTTGCATTGGTTGGCCAGGAAACTACCAAAGTTACGGGCTGCATGGGCTGCATCTGATTCCGCTCCGGCACTACTGTCAGGAAGCTTAGATGCTTCATCATTATCATCCGCAATGGCTGATTTGGGTCTCGCAGGAATCCTGACCCTCAATCGCCAATCGCTTGATAGGAGACTTGGGGGGATGCGCCATGGTGCTGACTTTTGTCTCCGTAGCCGTCCAGGAATTGATGGGTTGCGTGCGAACAATGCAAGGCCTGCGGCGCCGCGGTGTCCTGAAGTTTTCTGGGTGTAATCCTGGTGGACCCCAGCTTCAAGGAGTGCCATAATTGCAGTGGCATGGCCGGAGTGCGGGACAAGATTTTTGTCCTCTGCCTCCATTAGAGTGAGGATAGGGTAGTGATCATCACCTATGTCAGACAGCATGTCAGCGGTTGGGGTGCTAATTGGAATGCTGATCTCAAGATCTCGCAATGCTGGTCCTGGAATAGCACAGGTGTGCTATTCCAGCGCATAGGTGCGACGCGAAGTTGGTGCTATTTGATTTTCGAATAGCACTGGTCTCCAATAGCACCGGTGTGGGATAAGACTTCTGCGGCGGTCCCGCGTCCCGTCCCATGCAGGACGGGACGGGATATCCCGCTGCGGGACGACCCCCTACTCTAGAACCAAATACTAGGCGGGGCAACGCGTCCGGGAGGCCGGACAGGGGGCCTGCCTTGGTTTATGAACAGCACTGTATTATGTAATATACGCGGTGTCTGCCTCGGTGTCTGCAGTGGTACCCCGCCATTCTGCTGCAGTCCCCTTTTTTCATCGCCGCCTTCGCTGCTCATCCCAACCCAACCCACCCCCCTATCATATGATATGTAGGATACGGCGTCGAAAGCGGACTACAGTGGTTTCGGTCCCTTCTTTTCCCACCACCCCCTATATATAGAACGTGGCCGAAGCCCACCCCCTTTCTCAAGCATTCCACCGTTGTTTTTCCCACCGTTGTTATTGAACTTCCCTCCCCCACCTCCGGCTGCGTACTAAGCAGTTTCTGGCTACCACCCCTCTTGGATTCTTCTTTCGGTTTGCACGCGGCGGATTCTTCTACCATGGGTTTTCCAAAGAAAACATTGGTTTCCCACCTCACCAAGCTGGGAGGGAATCAGGCTTACCTTGAGGTAATGAACTAAGTATGACCCTTTCTTCCGGGTCTTCCCCCCTAATCTCGCGCTGACCTTTGGTTTGGATTTCGTCATGCAGAGTCTCAAGGTTCCTGAGCTAGAGTCTTTGCTGGCTGAAAAACTATCCGAGCTTCCCATCGAGGGCGACGTTCCATCAACGAGTCCCCAGAAGCAGAAGGAGACAATCAGTGCGGACATGAAGGCCATGCTAGCCGTCATGAAATCCGGACAGGAGGCCATGCAATCCGGACATGCGGCGACTCTGGATCTTTTAAAGGCTACCTTGGTTCGTACACCCTTCGTCGCCTAATGGCTGCCTTACTCTCAACCTGCTTACATCTAGACCCTCCGTCTACAGCACCAGATGCGCTCGGATCAGCATGCGTTCGCGGAGCTTGCCCGCAATGTCCGCTACCTGAGCCCAACCGTTTCAACTATCCAGGACGACATTGTCAATGTATGTAACCCAGCGGTGGTCCCCCGACTTGGGTAGCATGCATACTCTTCTGTCTTCTAATGGTTTTCACTTTTTAGATCAAGTCCGAGCTCAAGCTAGTCAAGGACGACCATGAGCAAGAAAAACTCAAAATCACGTCCGAGCTTCAGTCAGTCAAGTACGAGAGTGGTCTAGAAAAGCTCAAGATCACGTCCGAGCTTCAGTCAGTCAAGGACGAAATTGGTCTAGAAAGACTCAAGATCACTGCCCACGACGATCGCTTGGCAACGTTAGAAAAGGACTCCGGCGACCATACAGCAAGCCTGAAGCGCATGCATGCAGAAATCACTACTTACGACGATCGCCTACTTACATTGGAACGTGATAACTCTCGCGGCGATGTTGTGATAAACGGCCAGAAACGCAAGCGAATATCACACCTCGAAAATATGGTCGGCACCGCGGTAGCTCAAGGGATGCAAGAACTCCAAAGCCATTCAATAGCCCTCTACGAGAACCGAGCCACCGTGGAGCAAATCGCTGGCCAGGTAGGCAAAGAATATCAAGTCCTTTACTAAAAAGTCTTCATCAAACAGCTTACAAACATTTCTTTTCTCTACTTATTGTGCCATACAATTCTCAGATTGCGGAAGCTCGGTTGTTTATGCAAGAAATGGACAGCCGCCATTATTACCTTTTGATACCTGCACAGGCGGCGGGGGTGTTGATGCATAAAAACGTATGTTCTTGATTGACAATTCTCTAAACCCTGCGCTTCGTTGCTTCGAAGCTCATCGGCGCTTACTTGCTCTTGAACATTTTGTAGTTTTTGATAGAGTGTGTCAAGAACCGCAACCTGACATTCGTTCTCCACCGGGAAAAAACAGTACAGGTCGATGGATTGTTGTTCCGTGTTCTGGCTCTCCATGGCGACCAAGCGAACGTCAACGCTGTGGCGGCTGAATTGCAAGGAAAGCTGGACAGGGACATACCGGGGCACCGTCAGGTTATCCGTGCTGGCACAGAAGGTAAACTTTCAAAATTGTTTTACTTAGCCTTCAATCATATTTTCTGAGCATCTTTTCGCAGCACACTTTCAAGCGACAATTCCCCTGTGACCTCGCTTTTGTCTGTTTCATGTTCCACCCCCCTGCTGGCGTATTTGGCAGGGGGGTGGAACATGAAACAGACAACAGCGAGGTCACAGGGGATTTGTCGCAAGCTTTTCTACCAGGAAGCAGTGGGGGCCCTCACATGGGCATCCATTACCTGGCGCTGGGATATTTCAACTGCCGTCGGCTTCGTCGCACGTCAAGTCTCAGCTCCTACCCAAGCCGATTGGAATGGGGGACTGGCAGAGGCGGGTCGGTTGCGCGCGGAGACGGCGCAGGGTGTGGACACCGGGGTAGCGTTGTGTTGACCGAATCTTTCGAGTAAACCGTCGATGTAGGTAACATTGCTGATCCGGAGCTGGTTGCCGGAAGGCAAGAGCGTGTAGTCGAAGACCAGACCCAAACAGTTCTTGATGGGTCCAAGATCCGTACAGTTGAAATGAGAACAGAGTTCATATTTCACTTGCTTGACGTATAAGGGCATACAACAGGCGACGAAGTCGTCAACGTATATAAGGAGCATCTGAAGAGTGTCCAGAGTGCGCGTCTTGGTCGCGTAGCGGAAGAAGACGCAGGGGCAGTTTTTTGGCGGTTTAAAGCCGAAAGAAGCGAGGGTTTCGCGAAGAGTGCGGTACCAGAGCAGCGGAGACTGCTTAAGACCGTAAAGAGCCTTCCGGAGAAGGTATACCCAGTCACCGCGCGGTTTGCGCGGATCTTCGTAGCCTTGAAATTGTTCAACGTAGACGGGACCGTCGATGTCACTTTGTAGGAAGGCGTTGGGAACGTCCAGTTGATGGATTTCCATACCAAGGGAGACGCCTATGGATAGGAAGAGGCGAAGAACTGACATAGGTAGGGTTGGAGCGTAGGTTTCGTTATAATCAATGCCCTTGGATTGACGAAAGCCTTGAACAACACCGCGGCCCTTGAATTTCTTGAAAGTACCGTCTGGATTGAAAATTTGATGTAGTACCCAAGTACTGCCAAGTACGCGCTGGTCGCGCGGACGAGGTACGAGTTCCCAGGTGCCGTTATCGACTAGAGCTTGGAACTCTTTATCGGCAGCGAGTTTGAATTCGGCTGCCTGAGGGGATGCCATCGCTTGGCGCCAGGTCATAGTGACGGATTGAGGAGTGTCTGCGGTACGCGTGTTGAAGGCGGTCGAGTAGGCCTCAAAGGTTCGGGCGTGGAAAGCGGCTGGACGTGTTTCCCAGATGTCCAACGCTTCAGTCTGAAGGAGATCAGAGCGTGGTTGCCAGGTAGGGGTAGTAAAACCAACCCACTTGACCAGGTATTCCTTTTGGACGTTCTTGCCGCGGCATTGACGTTCAGAAAGGATGTGTTCGATAGGGAACTCCTCTGGCGAGGTGGGGGCATCGTCTAGAAGATCTAGAATAGACCCTCTACAGGGATGCCCGCAGACAGGAATGGAGATTTATCTGGATACGTTGGACATCGTGCAGGCGATGCTCAAAGAGGGCAAGGAGTTAGACTGACAGTATTAGCTAAATGTTCTATGGCTGCAAAGCAGACAGAGCCCTACGGTGAAATGTTTGGCGTCCCGTACGGGGGAAGAAAAGGTTCTTATCTCCCCCATCAGCCCCTGCGCCCTGCGGCGTGACGTGAATCTAGCTCCACGTGGGGGTTAGGGTTAACCCATTCGGGTTAACCCTAACCCCCTCCTGACATTCCTCTAAGGCAGAGACTGCCCACTGGCTAGTAAGGATAACTGGCATTGCAGGGGCTTTGCAGCCATAGCGGCATCCCGCCTACGGCGGCTCCCAATCTTGTCAGAGTGCGTGGACGCCGAGGGACGCCTAAGGGATAGAGAAGCAGCGTCACGATTTCGACACGATCAACGGGAACGCGATATCACGTCAAAGCGGCATACTCAATGGAGGTGACTCAGGTACAGTACATATGTTTTGTGATGTTCGCTTGATGATCGAGTCGGTGAGACGTTGAGGGGCTACAACGCAAGTACCATTCATGCGCGCTGAGGGCTACAACGTGCAAGTGCAACTCACCGTGGGGCCCTGCCTCGTCGACCCTATGGGGAAGAAGATTGTGGAGGATCTGGCTGTGACACCAGTAAAGCGGGAGGTGAGTAGTCAGCGGTCAACGCGAAGTCGTCCAGGACGTGGATTCATGTGGGCTATCTCTGACCCGATTCACGTCATGGTGGGCCGCGACGAGCGTCGTGGTCGGCACGGCTGTGGCGCACGGAATGCAAAACTCCCAAGTCATCAAAGACCCTCTACGAGCACCGGCTTAAAGCAGGAGAAAGGGCAAAACCTGAAGGATGGAGAGCCGGTGGTAAGCTCCCGTGCTGTGCCACGCACAAAAGAGGAAGGAATTCGGTGAAGCTTACCCCTTTTCCATCCCTGGAATCAGTCGTTGAACTAGAAAGCGATGCCGATGTGCCGATGAAGCGGAGGAGGAAGGGCTTTCAAGAAGGCTAGGACCCGCCCCTACTGGAGCCCTCATTGAGGCCTAACCCCCTTCGGAGAGTCTGTGGGTGCCGTCGGGTTCCTTACCATGGTCCGGCTACTCTAGGCTTCTTTAGAGGCGGCAGACAAGGTCGATGCGCAGTTGACTGGTCTGGCCAAGGCACTGTGGACAGGGAGGTGGAAGTCGCAGGCTGTGGGCGTGTTGTTGCTTTCGTGGGGAGCGGCTCGGGTTGCCCGCGACGTTCACTATCTGAACCCCACCGTTTCCAGTATTCAGGAAGACATTGTCAACGTATGTTTTAGTTCATGTATATAGCATGTGGCCGTACGAAACAATTTCTTTGAACACTGTTTATGCCCTTTGCAAACCTGTATTGGTCGGGACCGCCGCTCGTTATCGTATGCTACACAAAATCGCACTTATTGACGGATCAGGACTGTTCATGTTGGGACTGATGGACAACGGCAGATAGCTGACATTGCTTTGCTGGCTGACCACAAAGAGGAAGGAAAAACTTACAGGCGGGGGAAGGTTTCGCTTTTCAGCCAAAAGCAACACCCCAAGCTGATTTACCGAAGCCGACAGTGGCCAGCTTAGAATTTGGGTTTTTGCCTGCTCGAAGCGCTGGACGTGCTCAGGTTCGAGCTCATTTGAGGTGTGTGCGGAGGCCGTCCACTCGTCGGCACGTCTTGAAGATGCCGAGGGCGTCTGGCAGAGCTATCCTTCTGAGCGAAGCGGTCTCCATAAAAGCAGAATGTGACGACCCACTTACGACAGCGGCCTTCTTTCACGTCACCTATCCAAAGCTACACACAGCCTAATAGGTCTATTGATTAAATAACACTGTCCAGATAGAAAAAAACGTCCCTTGTCCCTAACTTTATGTCAACTTCCACCACTGTTTTAACTTCGTCTGCGACATGTTCCTTTGCCCCGGTTGTGTATCCCCACAGATCTTCCAAAGCTCGTTCAGCACTGCCTTCATGATCAAGCAATCCGCCAACGCCGTATGCCATCGCATTGAAACAGGTATTTTGCGCGTAGGATCCACCAAAGAAATGTAAAGCGAATGAAGCGCTGCAGAGCCTCTGTTCTCTCCTTTCTTCTCTATACTTCGCTGCACATTTGGAAGTATACTTTTATCGTAATGCCATCTCGAGACGGGTTCGTCCGTGACGCTCTGATACCAATTGTCTAGGCTGATTTGATCAAAGTGTGTGGCGGCCCAATAACATATCGTATTGTGACCTTGTGAATTGAGATACGCTGTTAGCCGATTGGTGCGTGGACCCATTTTCCGCCGCCACGTACCGTTTTCAATAGGGATGTTCATCCACAGTTCCAACTCATCGATCGCGTCCGTAGGAGACCTGCCTTTTTCTGCCAAACGACTATCCAGCTCCTTCAAAGCCGCTTCAAATGCTTCAACGTCCGACTTGCTCGGGAACTCCCGAAGTTTGACATCGAGAACATTGCAAAGCGTCTTTAGGTTCATCTCGACGTGATTCCAGCCCATTTCTTGGCGTGGAGGCCGGACCATGGCGCGCAGTAGGTTCAATCGCTCGACCTGCCCCAACCCGTTCCCGTGGTCGATGATGACTTCTAACCTTTCTGCTTTGTATAGCAGTGCGAACTGAATCAATGTTTGCGGCGATTTGTCTGTTAGCGGTCCAGGGTGATGCAAAGTCTCACAATCCAGTAAGATCATATCATCGCGGTTCTTCAGCCGATCACGCAAACTTGATAGATCCGACTTGAATGCTGGCGGGGTGACTTCGCGATGTTTGTAGCAGAGGGCGCACATTCCGGCGGCGACAATGATCTGCTCTTCTTCTACACCGCACCTGCCGCCACAAACGGCTCGTTTTCGACCGGAATCGCGGATGATACGATTGCAACCCATGCAAAGATCTTTCGCTATGATTTTCTTGTTTTCGCCGCATTCGATGCACTCGCGTTTAGGTTGCAGGTCCGATTTGTCGTAACATAGGACACATATTCTAGGGCTTCGTAGCTTTATAACACATTCGAGACCGCATATCGTGCAGGGCTCTCTCGGCAGGCATTGTTGCTTCTTGCAGCGACACCAGTCAGCATCAAAAATTTCATAGATTCTTCCTTTCTCGGCCGGTTCGTGGCATTCAATGCAGGTTCGCGGCGGGGAGTGCTGGTTGCATGTTGTCTTCCCTTGGGGAATCATACGCTTTCTATGGCATACTTCGCATCGGCGTTTCAGGACCCGAGCAGTATTCGTTCCGACAGCGCAATCCCTGGAGTGGCGGTCCACATTTCCCTGAGTCGTCCCCTTGAACCCGCATCCTGCGTTCGGACACGGTATCTGGCGTGGCCCATGGATAGGAAGGTGGTCTGCTAAGGATTTTTCGGTGCGGAAACTATGCTTACAGCCGGGTTCGGTGCACGGGTAGGGCGAAGGTTCATGACTCTTCTTGTGAGATTTAAGGTCACTTTGTGTTAAAAAGGAATTCCCGCACTGATCGCACATATGGTTCTTCTCTCCTGTGTGGGTCAGCTTGTGCCGCCATAGTGTGCTGAGGGACCGGAAGCTGGCGGAGCACTCCGAGCTCATACCGGTCGCCATTGTGTCTCGCCTCGTGTTCCTTCAGGACATCTTTCCGGGAGAAGGCACTGGAACAGCCTTCGACGGGGCATTTGAAGGAGGGTGGACCACTGCTGTGTGTTTTCATATGTCGTTTGAGAGCGTCTTCCCTGCTGTACGGTTTCTTATTGCACTCAGGATAGGTGCAGCGGAAAATTGTGGCCTTTCCTTTGGGCATTTCCGACAGTCAGTTGTTGGAGGTTGGGTCCGGTCGTTTGAAAGCTGCTTTTCCCTGGGTCCGTGTGCACAGCCAACATTCCAAATTCAGAGAGGGAAGCCCTGTCGGCAGTACCTTATATCAGTTCGTAGCTCTCCTCTAGAAGACAAGGCGAGTCTCCGATTGAGCGGATGGCGAGCGAAGGTTCGAGAAGGAAAAGCGGTCGATTATCGTGGTTGTTGCCAAAAGAAGAGGATACATTGCAGATGCCTACAGTATGAAGCCACCTTCTCGGGGTGGTCTCAAACGCCCGGAAACAAAAGCAACCGAAAGCTCGGAAGGGATGCATCCGACGCGCTGCTTAGTACTTACAAGTTACTCGTCTTCGCCATCCGCTTTGATACCGACGTTGATCCTGAACTCGGGAAGCGGGTGCTTGCATATTGTTTGGTTGTTGCCATTTGGTGAGGCGGACCACATCTTTGGACGGGGATAGAAACCGGGTTGGCGAGGCCGACAAAAGACGAGAACGTTGTCCGCAGAGACTGGTCTGTCTGCTGCAGCGGAACATACTTACGGAGTGGAGCGCCTGAACGTCAAATACGCTCTCGGGCCGCGGGAGGATCTCCAAGTTGGGGACACAGTGGTGGAGAAATACAGTACAATGGCATTCACCGATGTCTTGATGACTTCCTCAACAGCGAGGTCAAAGTTGGCGAGAACAATACAATGCTCAGCAGTATGTTCTACGATCATTCCTGTGGTATCGGAAGCTTCAGGTGCGCTCTAGAGGGTCCAGCTTGGACGTGTGTCGGTGGCAGCGACGGCTGTCCCAGGAAGCTGAGATTCCACAAGAGCAAACTGCCATGTGCGACGTTGAGCCCTCCCCGCGTCGGCGTCGGCAGGGGCGTCGAGCTGCTGATCGCCGGGTTCCCGTGCCAGGACCTATCACACACCGGGTCCAAGACTGGTCTAGCGGGCATGGAGTCCAGCATCATTGGGAGGCTCTTCAATATGTTGAGAAGAATTGGGGCTAGCTGCTGTGTGTGCCCATGGGACTGGCCGATGCACTTCCCGTCAGCATTCTGCTAAAACCCAAACAGGCAACCAGCTATTACACATTCCTAGGAAGTAAGCTAAGACTAATATCAACCTTAACCTCAACCCCGAGTTTTAGCAGAATGTAATTCCTCTACATGACCTGCCGGACACAGCAACAGCACGCGATTCGGCAGCAAAAATTGTTCGTGCATTGTGTGTCCCACCGCACGGCTCGAAGCAGAAGTGATTCTCCTCCTGCCTTTCACACCAGCTGTTCTCGTCAATGCTGGCACAGTGTTCTCTGTATGGCTGGGAGTAGGATTGTCCGGACACACTGTGGGAGGACGCTCGCCTGCTATCGAGGCGTTGTTGTATGCCATTGCTGTTCTTATTGTTTCATGCCCATGTGCGGTGGGGCTAGGTACGCTAAGCTACTCTTCATTGGCCCCCAGGGCGTAGATGCTAAAAGATGCAACCCTTTCAACTGTTCCGACGGTCATCGTGATAGCGGCGGGGGTGTCCGCACTACGTGGGATTCTTTTGAAGAATGGCACAAGTCTTGAGACGGCTGCTTCTATCAATATGGTCGTTTTCGATAAGACGGGGACTCTCACCACTGGACAGTTCACCATCGTGGAGGAGTTCTACGGACAAAGTCTCGGGCGGGAAGAAGTGGCATCTACTGTACTGTACATGCCATCGCGTCTTTGAGCGAGCATGTGCTTGCGCGTGCAGTTGCCAACCAACTGGAGAATGTAAGGCGTGGAAAACCTCCCACCGTCTCGGGGGTATCAAGCATACCTGGATTGGGCATTGAGGGTCTCGTGAACGGCTCCGTGGTTCAGCTCGGCCGACGTTCATGGGTGACTCAGGGCGCGGCTTGTCCCCGCATGCAATCGGCTCTATTGCATGCCCAGCAAAGTGGATGCTCAGGTGAGTGAGGACTGTTGTAGGTCGCTTTCGTTTGGACGCTGTAGGACATCATCAGAGTAACATACTGATCGTAGTGGTAGCGGTGTCTGTTGACGGGACCCTCGTTGCCATGTATGGCCTCAAAGATCTACTCCGCCCTGACGCAAAGCAGGCGGTTCACTTCTTGTTGTCTGTGGGGATTGAAGTCCGCATTCTCAGTGGGGATCACATTGAGAGCGTCGAACAAATAGCTACAGCGATAGGTATAGCCATACATGTACTTCTTGCACAACGCTGCTCTCCTATTAACCGGTATCTTCAGGACTTGATGCTTCGACCTGCGTTGACGGTTGCCCCCCAGCAGACAAACTGACGCGCCTGAAAGCCTTTCAACAGAGAGGACACCGTGTGGCATTTGTGGGAGATGGATCCAATGATGCTCCTGCTTTAGCGCAAGCGAATGTTGGTATTGCCTTTGGCTCAGGAACAGACTTAGCGTTGAGCACCGCGGATGTGATCCTCCTCCAACCAAGAACGCTAGCAGTTCCTGACACGCTAATCATTCCCAAACGCGCCCGGCGTACCATCATAGCGAACTTCTCTTGGGCCTTTGTCTACAACGTGGTCGCAGTTCTGCTAGCCGCAGGTGCCTTCACTCCATTGGGCGGAGAGCGCATACCATACCAGCGGCACTCGCTGGCCTAGGGGAGTCGGTCTGCATCCTACCGGTTTTCGCGTTTTCCATGTGTTTGAGAAGAGGGCGCTGGGCTACGAAATAGTAACCCTTGCGATGCGAGCTGGACGGTAGAAGCTGCACAGCTGCTGTGATTGATCGATATGAGTACGAATCCTATGCATTTGCAGTGAACCACTCTACTGGCAGATGATGCGCGCTTTCTTGCTGTCGTTGGATCCTTTCGTTCGACTGGATCACAGCATGAGACCACTATAACCCCCTTGATTATGTCGAGCCCTACGCAAAGAAACCATACGGATGCGATAGCTCACTTATGTATGACATTGATTGGGCGGACTTGTTATGTTTGAAAAATAGTGACGGGAAAGGTGCCCTTTCTCAGAATCGTGCACCCATTGATCCATTTCAAACGAGCTGAGAGCCATGTCTGTCCCACCGTCAGATACTGTGTCAACAGCTAACTTGCCAGGATACGCCGTGCCATCGGGCCAACGCTACTGCTATGTTCCCGCAGGCCACATCGTGCTGCTGGTTCCGAACGAGATCCTTGCAGCAGGGAAAGCATGGGTAGTCAATGCAGCTACCCCTGCCACCGCGCTCTCAGTATCCCCAAACGCTGTGCGGTTGGGCCATCCCCTTTCATACACTGACTCACCATTGAAAACAGAAGGGCAGATATCGAACCCGAGCTGTATCAGTTAGTTGCATGTCTGGATTGCAGTCCGGAGGTGATTGTAGCTAAGTGCGTTTGCGGGTCACATTTTTTTTTTTCGTTGTAATGCATCAAGATAGAAACATACTTTGGTACCTTCAGTGTCTCACGTGAAACAAACAAGAACAACATGAACAGCTTCAGCGGCGACTCTCAAGGGGGACACCAGTCCTGCAACCTCCTGAGTGCAGCTTTGACCATAGCAGGACAACATGGGGACCCGGAAGTGTTCACCTTCATGGTCGAATGCTACGTTCGACTATTGGCGATCCTAGCGACAGGGAGGGCGCACCTTGATATAACTGTCAACCTTTACTACATGGAGAATAGATCCGAGCTTCACATACCCGGTCCAAACGCCGCTGCTGTGGCTGATACTCTGGTATCGTGCGTTTCCAACAGCTTTCCTGCAGCAAGATTGCATATCGCAAGGCATCCCACCCATGTAGTCCTCGGCGTTGGTGGTGCCATATGAAGAGACTCCAGGGTATGGGGAAGGCTGTACAGCTGTCTCTTGTTTACTCTCGCTATAGCCATTTCTATCACATCACTACTGGAAACGGACACCTCCGTCCGTTTTCTCTAAAGACGAAGATTATCCTCGTATTGTTCCTGGGCAGTGACCAAGGTACTCAAATTCTTGGGTAGAGCTTGAAGGAAATCGGCACAGAGCATGTATTCCAGGAGCCCAAGGAGTTGTCCAGCCAAAAGGTTGAACTGGGCGACGAATTTGGTTAAACCTTGATGGTTAACAGACCTGGGCTTCAATGCGCGCAGTCTGTTAAGAACTTGCGGCAAATGAGTGCGGGGAATGAAGCGCCTTAACATCGCGGAGCATAGTCTGAGTCGAGGAGGCAGTCCATAGACATCTTGAATATCGTGCCATGAAATAATGGAGGAGCGGTCGGCTTCGCGAAGGCTTTTCTACCACTGGATAGCAGATCCAGTGAGTGCGTTGATGACAAAGTCTACGCATTCGGAAGGCAAAATCATCTGGTACTTCATAATCACGTCGATGTGATCAAGGAACCCTTGAAGCTTGGTAACATTGGGGTCGCCGTTGTAGGTGCCGAGTTTACTAAGGGTAGTGTTGATGAAGACTTTGGAAGCTGATTTGCCGGCCGTACGGGGTGTTACGGGAGTAACAGGTCTCACAGATGCACTTTCGTGTGGAATTTCAGCGAAAGGAGGGCTTTGAGAACGGGTTTGAAAGTACAGTCAGTGGACAAAGAGCTGTGTGCACCCCATATGGATTTCGATGACCGTTTCACAAAGCGCACCGCGCGTTTTGGAGCCGCAAGCTTGAGTATTGAAGCCAGCGACGAAGCGGTGATGGCGAAATGCACGCCAACATCTTCACCACCTCAGCTATGGTCGGCGGCGACCGATCCGAGGGGATCCTCCGGGGTGGTATCCGGAGGGGTGGCCGTTGCCTTTCGGTTCGTCAGGAACGCACTTTTCTTCGCCTCGACCGTGCGAACGAAGTTAGCCTTGGCTTCGGCGACGTCCGCGAGGGCGTCGTCTGTGGCCAGGTCCACCTCCGTGTCCGTTCGTGAGACCCATGCGGTACAGACCTCGGTGGTTTTATCCCTCTTGATCGCTCGCTTGAATTGTTTGGCCGTGAGGAAGCCCCCCTCATTTAAGGCCGCGCGCTTTGGGTAGAAACGGCGGGGGCAAGGGCCCGTATGAGGTTCGAGTAACCGGGCCGCGCAAGCGCTGGGTTGTTGCCATCGGCGGGTGGTGGGTTTAGCTCGGAAAGTTAGTACGGTTGCGTTATCCTCAAATTGAAGCACCAGGAACCTGTTGTCGCGCCATAAGCGTATGAGGTTTAGGTCCAAGATGTAGGGTAGCCCTAGGATAACATCCGCGCGGATTGAGGCCACAACGAACGGGACCCGAGGGGTCTTATGAGGTATTTGTTCCTCCGTGAAGACGGACAGGTCGGCACAAATCATCCGCGTGGCGCCGTATGATCCGGCTTTGTCACCCCAGCGACCTCGAGGGGCGTGGGACAGTCGTACGTGTTAAGATCATGGCGTTGGGCAAATGAGTCACTGATGAGCATGGTATTGCAACCAGTGTCTATGAGGATGCGACATAATATGCCGCCGACACGTCCATGGACCATGAACGTGTGCTTGTCAATGACGGGCCCGGGGCGGTATTCCGGAATGATGTCCTGCAGTCGGGGTCCGGTAGGTCCCTCGGGTTGTCTGGACGCTGAGGCGCTCGGGCGGTCAGGCCCTGGGGAGACAATCCTGACTGTCAACGGAGTATGCGGGGCTCGGGGGCTCCTCCGCGGCCGAATGGAACTCGTCGTTGTCATCGTCAAAGGCCTCGGCGGGCGCCGCCGAGATCTTGAGTCGGTCCGGGTTCTTAGGGCATGCTCGGGCGTAGTGGTCCTTGCTGCTGCAAGTTTGACATTCGCCTCGCTGAGTTTTCCTCTCCTTCCCAAGGGGTACTCGGTTGGAGTTGAAGGTGCGGGGCGTATTGCGCTTGTGGCGAGCCTGGGCCAAAGTGGCCGTTGCGGGTTGGATCTGTTTGCCGTCTTCCGAAATGCGGGCGATCCGTCGGCATAACCCCTGATGCTGAAGGCCCTCTGGGCGGCTTGCTGGAGGGTCTTGATGGAAATGTCTTCGTCCTCATTGCCCTGTTGTAGGATGAACTGGTAACACTGCTCACGGATGCAACGTCCGACCTGGTGGAAGGTCAGCCTGTTCAGGAAGTAGTCACGTTCCTGTTGTGCCGTGAGATGTTCCTTTTTGGGGAGGATAGCGATCTGTGTGGTCAGTGCGTTGAAGGCCGAAACGTAGTCTGACATGCTGTCTTTGAACTTCAGGGCGGCCAGTTTCGCCTTGATCAAGCTACGGAGGTTGGTGGGGTAGAACCTGCGCCTGAGTGCCTTCAGGAACCGTTCCCGGGTGGCGGGAGGCTCTCCGGAGCGAGCCTCGAGCTTCCACCGCTCAGCGGCGTCTCCCGACAAGTGGGCTACGAAGTGTTTCACGTCCCCGTCCTCCGTTCTGAATTCGGTGGCTTCCAGATAGCGTAGGTGGGCGTCAACGAACTCGTCCAGTTTGGCGACCATGTCTTTACCATTAGCCTTACCATTGAACTTGGTCAGCATCTTAGCCAAGGTGGTTCGGAACTCCTTCTCGGCGGCCGCCTTGCGCTTACGCTCTTCGCTAGCCGCCAAATGGTCCTCGCGGCTAACACGTACTCCAGCGAAGGGGCTGTCATCTGGGCGGTCCCTCTCCAGGCGCTCGAATCGCTGCTGGAGTTGGGCGTTGGTGTTGGCCAGCTGGGCTAGGATTTGGAGGATTGTTGCCTGTCCGTTCTCCTGTTGGGCTGGGGTACGGCTCCTGCGCCGCATGGGGGAGCGGCTTCGGGTCCTTGCCGGGGAGCGGCTGCGGTAGCGGCTTGCTGAGCGGCTCCTTCGACGGGGGGGGAGATGCTCCTGCGACCTCATCGTCCGCGCCTGTATCGCTCTGGCATCCGATTCCGGCGTCGGGGTTCCGGGCTTCGACGTCGACGAGATGAGCGTGAGCGGGAGTGCCTCCTTCCAGGTGGCGACCACGGGGGTGACCCCCTGCGCCTGTGCAAGGGGCGGTTACGCTCTGCGGGGCCGTTGCCTTGGCGTTGGTCGCCGTCGAGCCGTTGCGCCCTTCGATGCGGGTGTTCAAATGGGTCAAGCTCTAAGCGGTCATTGTTAACTACCGCATAGCTGACGGCGGTATTAGCACTCGCCTAAGAGTTGCTCATCGTAGGTTGCCGGAGAGATCTTGAAGGGTGGTGCTACCATGTAATAATGCTTGGTCCGTTGCCAGAGGCTAGCTCTGTCTCCGCTCGATGTATTGAAAGAATTCTAGAGTTTCTACCTCCCGGGGCGCCGCCCGAAGGCTTTTCTTCCCTTCGGGAGTCACCCCAGAGCGTAGAACTCCAATATAATCTACGCTACACGTGATCTCATGCCCTACGCGCTTCCCCGCACTAAGGTGCCACCTGCAGCACCTCATTACACGAGAGCGCATGGATTGCAGCGTGCGCCGGAGTCCGGCGTAGCCGCCACTGAAGGCCAATCCTCTACTATCTTAGGCATAACCGGGAGAATGTGGTTTCCAGGTTGTCCAAGACGTTGATGCAGAAGTTGGGGGGTTCTTGAGAAGGAGTAAGTCTATCGTTGTACTGAGCCTGAGCAGTGATCAGGGTACTAAGATCCTCAGGAAGGGCTTGAAGGAAGTCGGCACAGAGCACATATTCCGGGAGCCCGGGGAGTTGTCCAGCCAAAAGGTTGAACTGGGCAACAAATTTGGTTAAACCTTGATGGTTAATTGACTTGGGCTTCAGAGCGCGCAGTCTGTGAAGAACTTGCGGCGGATGAGTCCGGTGAATGAAGCGCCTCAACATCGCGGAGCGTAATCCGAGTTGCGGGGGCTGTCCATAGGCGTCTTGAATATCGTGGCATGAAATTATGGAGAAGCGCCGTTTTCAGGCAGGCTTTTCCACC